CTTGGAGTCGATGTTGCTGGACCTGGAGAGGAGGCAGATCACGAGGTCGAGGAGCCCAGCAAGGAGGTGAGGCCAAGCGCTTTGAGGAGGCCTGGAGGTGCAGAGAGAAGGTCAGAGGAGAAGTGAGCGATCTTCGTCGACGACGACAACACCGAGATCCCCAAGGAGTTCGAGGAGGCCTCAACTGCGGCAAAGCGAAAGGCTCGAGAGGTCGATCCTGGCGAAGGCAAGGAGAAGGGAAGAAGGGGGTTGTCAGACGCCCTGTTGAGCTTGAGGTCAAAGCTCAAAGACAGTTTGGGGGCTGGTGGAGAAGCAGAAGCTGCTGGAGTTGGGTTGAGAGAGAAAAAGAAGGTCGAGAGATCCGCTTCTGCAGTGGCCGCATCCCCTTCGTCTGGACCACAGAACTTGAGCCTTGGCATGGAGGACGAGAACACTACCAGCGGGGAACACTACCAGCCGAGGCTCGCGGTTGAGGACGACGCGGATGACGAGAAGGACGAGGAAGGAGGAGGAGGAGGGGCACGAGCTGACGTAAAATCTAACAACCCTCACCTGACAGGTGGAGAAAAGCTATCTCAAGAAAATGCCCCAAGACAACACGCAGGTCTGCAAGAAACCAGACTCCACACTGCTTCGCTTTCCCAGACCGGCCGAGAAGCAGCGAGCGAACGTGAGCATGTGAGGAGACTGCTACGAGGGAGATTGGGCCGATGGAAAGTTCCAGGACAGACTGACAGGTTATAAGGGGAGCCGGAACTGAGCCGTTGCGGAGGCGGCTGGAGAAATTGTGGGGACGGAGTTGGGGACAGTTAATCCATTCGGATCTAGATGTTTATAGGGGCTATCTTTTATCTTTGATTGATGAGGTTCCGGATCATAGCCGTTGACTTAAGAATTGGGCGCGCTGAAGCCCACAAACTTTCCAGCCCCCCAAGCACTTGGCAACGCTATGGTGGTGGGTCTATGGTGGATAACACCATAGTTTCCGGTAGACTTTCTCTGACACCAAGTTTTTGAGAGATCAGGTTTTCCGCAAAATGCAGCATTGTCCACGAAGTTGCTGCTTCAGGTTCTGGAACGTGGGGCCATTGCCTTGTTGGCACCTGCTTACAGACTTTGGTCATTCATATGAATGCAGATCCCCAAAAAGGCCACAAACAAGTGGCTCGGTGCCCACATCGGCGGCTCCGAGGAAACATCGGCTCCCACGTGCTCTCAGATCCAAAAAACAAACCGAAGCAAACCACGTGCAGACCATGCGCAATGTTGTTCCAGGTGTTTTCCCTTTTTTTCATAAGCCAATTGTAGATGAACATCGTGATTGAAAATTCAAAGTCAAAGGGTCTAGTAGGTGTTCCATGCATTCTTCGGATGTTTTCAGCCGACCAACACGGACACCTCCTGCAGCTGTTGGGGCTCGATCAGCGCCCCGGTAGCTCAGAGTCAAACGCACACGAAGCGAAAATATGCATTGGTTTCCATGGAGTGTTGGTTTGTTCTAGGAATGTTGCCAGGAGCAGATCGGCGCAGAAACAGCCACTGGATGCCACAGGACGAATCAAACATGATTTTGCCGATGCTTGTTTGTTGCCCCTCTCGCCCTTCACCACCTGAAAAAATGTTGTCAATGTCAATAGCTGCATCCCAATGCTCAACTTTGGAAATGGGCAAGACCTGATTCACACCCCATTCCCCTAGCTGCAGCTAGGCAAAACACATGGAAACGATACCATATGGATGATAGATGCTAGCTGGGTCCCCCTTTTGCCACCTTCTTTTGGCCTTTTTGGCATCTGACTTTACCAGAGTTTCCAAATTTGGACTAGTTCTTGAGCCATCAACACCAGCTGTGTAGCAGTCGGCCTAATGGGTTTCTTAAAGCAGCTGTCGGCGCCGTTCCCGGCGCCTTTCGCGCACGGCCTGGAGACCGCGCAGACCGCGCACCTGCAGGATGCTACGCCCGAGGCGGTGCGCGCGCCGAGGGCGTCAGTGTCCGAGCTGCCCAAAGTGGCTGCCTTCTACCGTCCCTCGACTTGAGAAGCCAATTGACCAGAATGACCCGCTCCGGACCCCTTTTTCCGGCGTTTTTGGGTCATCTTTGACCGATTCGCTCTGGGATGCTCAGTCCGGTTGCAAGGGGACGACGGTTGCACGGAGAACAAGGACCGTTGAGGACCTTTTTCCTCTTTGCAACGACTGGATCTTGCAATCCTTTGTGGCATGCATGGCAAGCAAAGCTCACTAAGTTCGGCCTAGTGACGGGGGAAAACAAGAACTATAAAACAAACATAAAAAAACGGACAGACGCTGGGACCTCCAACCTCTCGAAAGTTCCTCCGCCTGAGCCGGCGAACGCACAGGGGTGGTTTTCAGACAAATCACATTGAATCCGTTGATTTTTCACGGGTGCAGTCCTGAACGACCCTTGATTTACGAAGAATTTTTTGTTAGAACACCAGTTCAACCTTTTCTTGAGGGTTTGGGAAAGCAATGTGTGCAGGATCTTGCATGTAAAGTCCTGAGTTTTTTCCATTTCCCACAGGTGGGGTGGGGTGGACCCTCCACGCAACATGGATCAGCAGCGAAGGAGAGTCATCCTGGATAGTCGAAGATGGAAGACGCAATTCGACATCAAGGATGATACATGTGGTGTTGAAACGTTCATTTGGGATCTATTAATTGTAGAATTCCCAAACACTCCATGTATGCCATATATATACATTGGTGTGGTTTTTGGGGTCAATGTAGGCAAATATGGCATACATGGAGTGTCTGGGATTGTAGATATGTTTATATTTAGGTATTTGGGTTTGCCTTTCTTCCCAACCCCCTCGTGAATGTTTATTTTTTTGTGTGCGTGACGGCAGAGGTGCTTCGAGCGATGGGGCTTAGCCCCCCCGTCTCCAGGTCAAACAATTGCTCAAGTGCACGAAGATCTGGAACGTTTGAAAGCTTACGGAACCTGGGCGTAGCAAAGAGAATTTCTCATGCCCAGACACAACCTGTCTGGGACTGCCATAGGACTGCCGATCAGTTGGGGTGGTGCCAGGGGGGTCAATGTAAGCATATAGTGCATATATGGAGTGTATGGGATGAGGATGTTGGCATTAAATGGCATTGGCCTTTGTTTTGCAGCTGTGGACTCCGTGGACTGTCGAGAAGACATCTTGCAACGAAATCGACACCTACCCCGTCAGATCACCAACACCAATCTGTTTGGTGTTTGGGTTTGCTCACGAACAACGAACAGGTGGACAGTTCGGCAAAAGGGGAACGTGTTTCTTTACAGAAAACATCGGACGGATGTGAGAGGGTGATGTAAGTCAATGTAAGTCGTCACTATAGGTGCCACGAAAACGCCAGACATCTGGGGGTTCCGGGAAAAAAAAGCACAACGTACCAGGCCGAGAACTGGATCTTGCAATCTGAGAACTGGACATGTTTGCTTATCAAGACATCACTGCTGACCACCTGTGTGCTGTTGGAAGGACAATTCATGGTGGAAGTGGAGCGAGTACAAACCACCACTTTGGCTTTCGGATTTGTCCCATCCGCGGTGCTCATGATGAGTCTACCAGCACCCGACTTCACAAGTCACCACCTGACACTTTTAGGGGGTGTATGATCGATATGTTATTAGTTTATATACCTAGACTTCCAAGACCATGAAAAAAAAGGGACAGACCTGGTTTTGTAGTGTAAAATCCTTAGTTGGCTCGGGATTCAGCCTATTAATTTAATGGTGGTTGGAAGTCTAGGGTATAGTTATTGAGATATCGCTCTGGATCAAAACCCAGACCTTGAATTCCTGGTAGGTTGACCTCCCAGGCATAGTCAACCTTTTAATTCATTTTCGCTGGTCACCTTGTGTCCCGGAAGATCTTGACCCGCAGCCATATTTTGACAGAAAGATCTCGTGGTCCAAAGCCTAAAGCTCCCTTCTTCCCTACTCACCTGGTGCTAGTCACCTGGTGTTGGATCGACCAAATTCTTCACACAGACGATCCATGGAACAGCAAATAGTGCTTCAGGACTGGTGGTTTGGGGTGGTGAAGGTAGGTCATCCAGGTTCCTTGAGCAATTCCAAGTCATTAATTTCTGAATAATTTGGTGTGCCATCAAATCGCTTGGGTCACAGTCTTGCTGTGACTTTCCATGGGCCCCCCATTCTGGGGGGGGTTCCATCGCCTTTGTGCACTGCTCAGGGAGGAGCGGCGCCGCTTCCGGCGTGGGACGAGATGCAGGCAGGTCGAAGATGGGGGGGGTCGGTCGTGGTCGTGGTTTGCAGTGCGTGTCGTGGCGCTGGACCGAGACCGAGGAAGGAATGAAAGAGATGTGTGTGGTTGGTGGTTGGTCCTTCTTAGGAAGATCCGGTGTGGTGGACTACGTGGTGGAGGAGGCTTTTCTGGTGTGTTTTGGGGGTGTTTTCTTACAGAAGGAAGGTGATCCACATCATCTAGGAAGGTTGTTCGCGTTCAAGCCAGTCCACACCGAGGATTTCAAGCCATGCCATGAGGGGATGAGGATGGAGATGCCACACAGTGCATGCGATATTATGGAATCTACCTGGAACATCCTGTCGGGGTGTCCTGTGTGGAGCTTTATAACTATACCCTGCGAGTGAAAGACTGTACAAAGAATGGTCTGGCTAGGTGATCTGAAAAAGAATTTACCTCACTATATAAGGGAAGGTATAGTCTTTGGACTTCCAGGGTATTGTGTAGGGTAGTCCAGACAGTGCACCCCTTCTAAAGGGTCCCGTTGTTCCTTGAGTCGTGAGACAGGAGAATGAGAAGGCTATATGGTCAGTGTGATGACCAGCGTAACCATGCTTGGCGGGGTTCAACAAAGGACCTGGGATCTTGAGGTCATGGATTTATGCGGATGTGCCCAAGCTGGAACGTCGAAAACCTCGAAAGGGATGGGTGATCCTGTGGGTTTCCCATAATACTGACTGAGGAAGTACTGCAGTCGCTGGGGCTGCGCAGCCTTCTTCAGGATTCACAAGCGTCTGGCGGTCTGGAGGTTCAAATACGCTTTCGATACCACTTTTAGTATGGCCATATAGACTGCAGATAACTGCAAGTTCTTATCGAGTGCCCCATCATGTCGGTTGCCCGCCAAAACGTGGTTCTTCCGCCAAGCCCGCGCCATCCGTCGATTCCCCGGCGGTCGAGAAAACCCGACGATTCTCGTCCGACTGGTCGTCGATTGCTGGGGGTCCCAGTGTCAAGACTTGGAACAAGTCGACCCCAGTGAGCAAGGGCCATGGTGACCAGTGGTGGCGTGTATGGCGCCAGGGTCGACCGTCCCATGACCTGAACAAGTCCATATAAAGAATTGGTGAATGTTAAAGAAGGGAGAAGGGTCTGCAACTGAACCATCAAATCATCATCGCCAAGGAGTGAAGGACGATGACGGTCGAAGGTGGGACCTGGAAGTCCCATTAGTGAGAAAAAGCATCGATTCTGGGACTTGACCTCCACCCCCCCCCCCTCCACCCCCATGAGTGCCCCTTATCGTCCAACGGCGGGAAGCTGCCGGCAGGTCCTTGGGCCGAAGAGACCGGCTCGGTGCTGCCACCTGGCCGCAACCCGTTCGACCATGACAGGAGGACCCGGTGTGACCTGGTGTAGTCTAAAGATGTCTACTAAAATGCGTATATACCAGGAGTCACAAAGGTGTAGTGTTTAGTCCCATCCAGTGAGTGGAGTAGCTCGGCACCCCGACTACCTCCATGGATAGCACCTCGTCGAACGTGACTGCTGGTATAGATTTAAAGAAAAATAATCAACAACAATACAGTTCTGTGGTTCGGGATTCAGGCCACAAAAAAGTTGCAATTCCATGGCCCTGGCAGGCTCGGAATCCTAGGGATACTTGGTTGGAATTGGGCTGATCATGACTCATGTTTGTATGTGTTTTAATGAGTCATCATAGCTCACTGGGCTGATCATAGCCTGCCTATCCATGCTCACCAGCCAACCGGATCCCAACAGGTGCTTCATGGTTCAAAGCCTGATGGTTCTGGCATCTATGGCATACCTGGAATGAGTCGACTAGTCATCTCATGTCAAAATCAAGCCTGATGGTGACCTGGAATCTGGAACACGTCTGGTTTCAAGAAAGAAGCCTGATGGTTCCAAACCTGTTCCTTCGAAATCACGGAGAGGTCGGTCGAGTCGGTGTCGTGTTGTCGGTGACGAGGCCGTTGCAGACGAGTCGAAGATCAAGTCCCAGCTCTCACAGTTCTTTCCTCTTCTACAGCAAAGGAGACCAGAAGGATGCCCAGATGGACAACTTCCTCAAGAAGGACCTGCAGCGACCTGAAAAAAGATCCAAACCGCGCTGTCATTCTTCTTGTCAGGGTGGGTAGCTCTCATCAAGCATTTTTTGTGCACCGGTGCATGTCCATGCGCGGAGACGGGTGTCGCAGGAATTGGTTCAGTGGATCCGTGCTGTAAGTACCAAAGATCCACTGAGATGATGTGAATGGGTTCCAAGGATCCCAGGGGGAGCAGGAATCTCTTGCAGCTCGTTCCACAATCTGTTACGGTTACGAACTTCTAACCCCTTTAGGCTCTCTTAGGAAAAGGGCGGGAGCGAACCTAAACCCATTCTAAATCCTGAGATCGAAACAGCTGCTATACGGAAGACCAAAAACATGATCATTCCGAATCATTCCAGGATACTCGATCTATATGAGAGTAGCTTGCAGGTGTATAATTCGTTGTTGCTCTTGGTTTAACCTTTAGCAGAGATGGTTTTTCTCGCAGGTTGGTGGACGGTCGTCCCGCCTAATCGCCCAGTCGACCAGACCTGGAACCCGGTCGGGCTTTGGCAGTGCCAAGAGGTTTTTTCTAAAAACATGCAGGTTTCAAACACCCAGGTCGTCAGGCTGCCTTTGGTCCTTAAAAAACAACACCCAGCACTCAACTCTACAGGTCTTTTGGAAGCTTCTTAGGCCCTACAAACAGGCGTATTATCCCTATAGGATTCCAGCCACCATTACATAAGTTAATATACTTGGCTGAACAAACCAACATGTTTTTACTATACAGACTATACACTACAAAATTCAGCTCAGCCTTCTGTTTAATGGCCTTGCTTTCGGGCGGCTTTCGGGGAAACGATGGAGGCCATCTCGAAGCTTGGTCAAGCTGCTTGGGCGCTCGAAGCGCCCACAGCCTCGATCGCAACCACCAGGACGCCTCCCAAGCGGAGGCGGACGCAGCGGACCTCTTCGAGGACGCGGTGGCCACCACGCGGCGCGCGGCGGTGGCGCTGCAGCACGGGCGGAAGGCGGAGGTGCGCCAGAACTATGCGCAGGTGGGGGGTGGAATGGGGTGGAGGGGTTTTGGGAAGGATGGGGAGGTATACCTGAGCAAAGTGGACATAAGTGGACCACCTTTAAGATGAACCTCTTTGTTGGTGAAGGACAAGGGGGACATGCCACTGGACTTGAGTGCGACTCCGTGTGGATCCTCTGAGTCGTTTGCCTCTGGTGCGTTTGGCGGACCGGGGGGGTCCGTTGGGGGGCCGAAGATGGGCGTTCGCTCAGGCGATGGTATGTTCAAGGGTGGCAATGTGTCTCAGGTTTCTCACCGTGCTTGGAGACCTGAGAAGGTACGACTGGATCCCTAGGGCCTGGAATTGAAGATTGAAGGGTTGGCATATCCCTGCGAGTCAAGTCGACGATAAAAGGAATGGTCTGACTATAGTAGGGGACCTGAGTCTGGGAACTTCCTTTTTACTTCAGCCAGTCAAGACATATACTCGAACTGGACTTAGGGTTTCTCTACCTCTTGTCTCAGATATGAAGTGGACAGACACTCTCAGGTATGAAGTGTCTCAGGTATGAACAGGTGGAGGTATGAACAGGGATCGTTCTCCTTGTTCTACCTCTTGCGTCGTTGAACTCCGACCACGAGCCACTGACGTGGACCCCTGACCTTCCGTCATTCGAACGTCATGCGGGAGTCATGTGGGCTGCAGAAAGCAGAGCTGCTCGTCATACGCGTGCGCGTGCATGCCGAACACGGCGGCCGCGTGGGGGCAAAGCGGAACGCCGCAAACGGCCGCGGGGGGCGCTGCAGGTGGTGAAAGACGAAGAGGAGATGGAGCGCTTGATGGCTCGCGCTGCAGAAGATGCCAATGAGGATGCCCTCATGGTGACATGGCGCTCTTGAGTTTGTTGGGGCGGTGAGTGAAACGGGTGATTGCTGATGGTCCCGAGCCACGGGGTGACTGAATGGTATTGTTTCTGTCCGTCCAGGTGCCTCGGGCCTTGATCCTGCAAGGTCAATGGACACCATGAAACACCCCTTCAATCTCTAAGGGGCTATTCATGCACACCGAAAATTAAAACTCAGGCCTTCCCACCAAGGATGGTGTTGTTGGTGTTGTTGTTGTTGTTGTTGTTGCGAGGTCTTGTTGTTGTTGGAAATTAGAGGCGTCATCCGTACTGAGGAAAACCTGGGCCAAGTTCAAGGGTCACATATATTTCCTTTGAATCAACAGAGCTCCACACAGACAAATGTAAACACATGAGCAAGCGGCAACTTGTTTTTAAGGCCAATCTTGCTGCCCAGACCCCTAAACATTACAAAAACAATATAATATAATATAATATATATATATATATACAACATGTTGCGAGACAAAGTCAACCAAACAAACACCTAATCAGCGCCGCCGGACCAAATGAAGGGCCTCTCGGGTCCGGGGCAGCGGCACGCTGCCGCTCATCTGCAGGTGACGCAGCACGATGCGAAGGGCCACGATATCGATGCCTTGCCCTACACTGATGACGAGCCCGAGACCGCGCACGACGAGTGATGGGAGCATCCGGGAAAAGAAGAGAGATCCATGCAGTGCAGCGCGGGGCCAAGAAAGCACTACCTACAGAGGTTGCCAGTGACCTGAACTAGGACCCGTCACCAGGAGTACCCAACTAGGCTTGTCTATAGGGTTCTGACCCACCTCTGGTGGTATATACCCCCCCAAAAAGCGCAGCAGTGCAGCCCTTTTGCTTCAGTTGCTTCGGAAGGCTTCGGAGCCCGGCCAGTTGACGCCGGTGGAACGGGTCCCACCGGGTCCGAGGGTCGCACGGTCCGCAGGATCGAGGGAAGTACACCTACAGCAACGGCGACGAATTCATGGGCCACTTGGGTTGAAACGAACGGGTTTTTCTCGAAGTGTTCCACTCGCACCCGTTCCACTTAGGGCGATGTGGAAGCATGTGGAATTCCACATGGATTATCATGGATTCCATTTCTGTTGTTCCGTCCGCTAACTTGCCCATGCTTGCCCAACATGTGGCAGGCGATTTTTGTTTTGGGGGGACTGACGGGGTGTGAGGTGGAGAGCCGCGGATGAAGATCCTAGCCTAAGACCCCATGGGTTACCGACAATGGACAATGGGAGGACTCTACCAGCAGCACGGAGTTCGGGACCAGCACCACGAACCAGCAGAGGTTGAAGAACCCTATAGACTATCCTATAGGTACTCCTGTAGGGTCCTATAAGGTCACTTAACCTCTCTATAAGTGCGGGTGGTTAGTGGAAAGAAAAGACATGGTCAGGGTGTCTCTAAACCACCGGGGGCTCTTGGGAATGAACAATTTGGAGGGATGAGTGGATTTGATCATGTGAAACATGCCCGTCAGGATGAGCAAAATCAATTCAAATGCACAAAACACAGCAAAAAACGCCTGGATACCTGCGGTGTGTTTTTGGCACAGGTTGGATCATATTGTGACTTGAAGGGGTTTTAGGCCACACGTGGCCTTATCCGACGAACGCTGGAGGAAGTCCGTGGATCGCCTGCCCCAAACCAAACATTGCCTACAGAGGTTAAGTGACCTTATAGGACCCTACAGGAGTACCTATAGGATAGGGGTACCTATAGGGTTCTTCAACCTCTGCTGGTGGGGCAAATTGGCGTAGTCTCTGGCAGTACATGCGCTGCTGCGTGAACGCGGGGCTGCGTCACACACAGTTCGACTAAACGCCACCCAGAAGGAACTGATGGACAGTTATCTTTAAAGTTTGTTTGAAAAAACATTTCCAGCATTGGGAGGCAGCTATACATCCCCCAGTCCTTAGTTTGGGCCTTCTTTTTTTGCGTTTCCAGACCTAACTCACTGGGAGTCATCCATCTCAAGCACCTTTCGAAGAAAACACTGGACACCAGGACACCCGGGCCAGGGGGGTTTCGATTGATAACTCGCTCCTTAGAGGTAAAGGCCGGGGTGGAACCACCAACCACCCCCGACGGTCCCACACCGATCTGTGAGGTTTGTGGGAGAAGGGCGTGAAGGTGAGTGGCACCTTCTACTTCGCCGTCCGGGCAAACCCAGAGTGGAAGCTGGAGCGGGAAGGCTGGACTCCCTGGAGACTACTGAAACGCCATGTTTGGAACCGTCCATGTAGGGATTTGGAGCCAACTCAACTGAAGACACACATGGGGGTCAGTCGACAAACAGTCATCGAAACGTTTGAAACCTCGTGTTTTGGTATCGTCTGGATATGTTTTTGGATCATTTCCTCTATAGAATATCCTTGTCTACTGACCGTGACAGGCATGAACATGAACATGAACACACATGAACATACAAACATATATACAAACAAATTGCTGACAATTATATAATGGGTGGGTTATTGGAGAGTGCCGCAAGGAGGTCTGTAATGTGGAGGCACACCTTTGCGAGATCCTGAAGAGTCCGTCAGGAATGAAAGATCCTCATACACAGAAAAAAACACCCAGACACTCCATGTATGGAATATGCCTACATTGGGGTGGTTTTGGGGGTCAATGTAGGTATATATATATATATGGCATACATGGAGCGTTTGGGACATGTTCCAACTTCATGTTGGTGTGAACCTGATTCCCAAGCAACCCAACTTCCTGCAGGCACCTATGCTATACAGGAAGAACCACCTTTGAACGAACCTTCCGATCCTGTCCGGTCGCCACTCGTTCTCGTTCGATCACAACGAGGACGTTCGTTGCGCTCGTTCCGCTCCTCGTCGCTTCCAGCTCCAGGATGGCCGAGTTAGCACCAGGAAGTGGCAGGGTGGCAAACTGGTCTCCTGCCAGGTGTGGAGGGACCGGGAGGTTTGCCTTGAGTGGTGTGAACGAATTACTGATGTTGGCTGCATCAGGCTGCCCTGAAACGTTTTGGACATGGGCATGTGTTGTTTGATGTTTTTGGGGTGTCGATAGAAGGTCCCCCTGGAAACAGGAGAAGTGGATGAAACCTACTTCCGGGCTCTTCGAAGTGACCTTGTCATCCCAGGGTTCTACAGGTCACAAAAGGGTGACCTGCTTTTGCGTGACCTTTGATGTCAATCTCGGGTCACAAGACTGATGGGTCAAACAGGGTGAGCTTCAAGATGTTTCAATCAGTGTCCATTTAAGTGGATGGTTCACAGGTGTTTCATAGGTGTTTACATGATAAACATATAGGTTTTCGCTTTTGCTGATCGTTTCAGACTGACTGTCTTTGGTGTGAAGATGTGAACATGAGCTGACTCGACATGTCACTACGCAAGCACTGACCTCATGAAATACTGGAGTTGATCATACAAAAACACGACGAACCATGAGGTGTTCAGGACCACCAAACTGGCTTCCCTGGCTGTGTCCTCCTGGAGTTCCAACCCAGACCGGACCTAAGACCTGACCGGAACGCCGTGACTGGTGCTTAGTAAAGAATGAGGGTGGCTGGATGCTACGTATCTATAGTGAGAGGTCATGACCTCTCATTCCCACTGACTAAGCACCAGTCAGATATGCGGGGGTTGTGCTGAAAGATGTTAATGCATAGGACGAAGAATGGGGGTCTAGACGGAAGAACGCACGAAAGCATCTCAAAAGCATCCCAAAAGCACCCAAAGCCCATGGTTTTTGAGGGGGGAAGCCCGGGTTCCTGATGAACATACACAAACACGTGACATGTTCTGTCCGAGTGTCTTATTGCATTGGCAGGGCCTTCGATCCGTGGTCTCCCCCCCACCCCCCCAGCCGCAGCGAGCTGTCGAGTACCTCGCGCTCTAGCCGGACCGCCTGCTTCGCTCGCCTGCGCGAGCCGGACCAAACTCCTGGGAACGTCCTTTGGATCAACCAGCTTCTTCACTTCGTGACCTTTTGAAGGTTCCTAAGTGACCCTACTCGGAGACTTAAGTGACCGAACCAACCAGGTTATCAAGTTTGGTCACTTTGAAGAACCAGGAAATCCGTTTTTGCTCAAACAATGATTGTTGTTCTGTCCCAGGTGTTTGTGTCCAACAGAAGTTCTGTTCCAGTTGTCCTGTTGTTCTGTTGTTCTGTTTTAGGCGTTTGTGTCCCAGAAAGAAGTTCGTGTCTGGAGAAATATCATCTTTCGACAGGAGTTTCTACGAGGGTCTCCGTCCCCCTTCCACCGAAGCCTGGACGCCAGGAGTTCGATGCGCGAAAGAGGAGCTACATGCCCACCACAACTCACCAGCAGGCCATGCTGGGGATAGGCTTCTTATTGCGGGGTGAGTCTTGTTTTTTTGTGCGTAATGGGGTGAAGAGTCCTGTGGAGAATGTGTGTTTTGTTAAGCCAATCCAAACCATTCTTTCTTTTGATTTCTTTTTGTATTTGTGGTCGGGAATGGTGATCCAGATCTCCAATTGATGAAAACATGCTCGCAAGCGGTCGTGTCTATTTGCTCGGTTTTCCTATTAAAAAAGAACTCTCATTGTACACTACGGAACCAGGTCTGTTGTTTTTGAGGACTAGGGAACTGTTGGAGGCTTGAACCATGTTGGGCCCTAAGAAGGTCCAGGGCCTGGGCGAACTGAACGGCCTGGGGTCCCTCGGTCGTCGGACGCAGTTCGGCCGTCACAGAGGTTCGGACGAGTGAACCCTCTTTAATTGATATAGTCGATTTTTTGGAAGAAAAGAGGCAATCTACTAACATCTAACCATCCTCATCCACTATAGTTACTGGTAAGGGCATTTTTCACCCCCCATTGATAGGTGTCTGGGGTCAAACTCGAATTCCTACCCAGGATGTTTGTGGATCACCTACCCACTGCTCAATCGAAGGGGCATTGGGACATCCGCTTTCATGAGGGAGGAGGACAGCGAGGTCAAGCTGTCTTGGGAGACAGTGGGAGTCAGTTCAGGCGGACCCTACAGAGGTAGCCAGTGACCAGGTCACTAGGACCCGGAAAACCAGGAGTACCCAACTAGGATAGTCGAACTAGGGTTCTGACCAACCTTTGCTGCTTGTGGGATCTTGTGAGGGATGTCCTTCTGCTTATACCGCCGGACTGGAAGTTAGAATCAGCATTTGGAAAATCGCACCGACCAATCTAGCTCGAACGATGCCTGGAAATCCAGAACATCTGCTCGTGTGTTCGCCAGAACGTAGGGTTAGCTTGGGTTGCTGCTTTCACTGGCTCAAGTGATTGCAGCCTAGGGACTGCTTTGAATAGGACAGGTGTCACAATGTTGGGTGGGCCATGGCTATCGGTGCTGGGCCTCTCATTGACCCTGGAGCTTGTTCAAGGCCCCCCCGGCTGATTGGGTCTGGTGGTTTTCTTCCAACTCCTCGGATGAGGTGGAGGAGATTTTCCCAGACGCAACCGTGGGCGAGACCGCCCCTCCCAGGATGGCCCCTGAGGAAGGTGAGCGTTCCGCTCCTCACGCAGGAGATGCGAACACTTTCGCTCATGTGTGGGGTCACTCAGTTTTCCATTTTGACATCAGGTCCTGGATGGGACCAGCATGGTTTAGCACCCCACAACAGAAGGGAAGTCTTAGCTCCTCCGGGGGCTGGGGACTTTACTTTCTTGATCGATTTGGACTCGCTACCTGCGGAGAATTTTGGCCATGGATTGCCTGGGGAACCCTACTAGCGCTGATTACAGTTTTGACCATTGGGGTAATCTATGCGTTGACTTGGGTCTTCCGGCCGATCCGGCTACTCTTTGATTGCTGCACCCGTCATACTCAAGCTGTTGCACGGGAGGTAAGTGATCTTCTGCCTGAGTTGCAGGCAACCCACACTTACGAATCCTTAGCCATCCGAGGCCCCGGCTCCAGGGAAAGTGTTGATAATGACTTCCTACAAAAAGGAGTCAAGGGTCGAGGGACTGAGAGAAAGCCCAACGATGTGGTGCTTCTGCTCAATGGCCAGGCAGCGAGGGTCAAACCCGATTGCGACCACTGGGCACGCGTTGATCGGAATGGGCTTTGGGTTCGGCTGAGAGAAGTTCGAGGTGTTTCCCATCGAAATCTGAGGCAGGTTTTGGAAGGAGAGAGTAAAGTCCACCTTTGCCGGGAAATGCAGTGTAGTCTTGAGAACCACCCTACACCGGGTATACACTGCAAAACCTACGCAGTGGTGGATGCCAACAGCGTGGTAGATTTGGGAGCGTACGCCGGGTGGTCCACCAGGCGACTGATGGTGCTCTTTACCAGATGTTTCAGAAGTGTCGGACGATCCGTCTGGAAGATGGTCGGGGTACTCTCTGGGTGGACGCTCCTTCGATATCTGATGGATACCCCTCAACCAGCCCGTACCATCCAGGATCATGGAGGTCTCCGTCCCCTTGACCCTGAGTCGGAATCTGAAGCTGAGGTCCTGGAAGATCCTTGCGAGGCCGTCCTAGTTGGATTGACCCATGGTGGCAAGCCGCGAGCCTTAGCCAATGAACCATGTCGGGATCAAGCAGCTGGGGAGTCGGTCCGACTCCTTGAATGTGACAAGGGTCTTTCCGATGTCAAGGGCAGGCAAGCGGTCCGCTTGTGTGATCACCACCGACAGTTGTATGTGGCAGCATGTTCCGGACGCAAGTGCAGCGTGCTCTCATGTTATGAATCACACGATGGAGCCAAACAAGGGGTCCCCCTATGCAAGCATCACCTGATGGATGTTGGTAGCTCGGTGCGCAGCAAACGCAAGGTTACCTGGGAGAGCGACGGGAGCAATCCAGAAGCAGAAGAACCATCCTCAGGAGTTGAAGGTCACTTTGAGGATCAACGGGGGGTCTCTCCTCAAGCCCGCAGTAGCCGCCCCAAGCGTAGAGCTGCCACTAGCCAGCCCAAGGCACGCGCTTCCTCAGCAGGGCCCCAATCTCAGTTCCAGCATCAAGCGGAAGGCAGGCTTCTTCAAGGCCCATGTATCTCACTAATCAGATTCAAGTCCCTCCAGAACGGGGAAAGTCTGCCAAGATGGGTCGCGTTTTTGGGGCGGGTTACTGGAGTCGCTACATCTAGCCGAGCTCAGGAGAAGGTTGAAATTGACATCCCTGCCCTCAAAGTTCAAGGGGTGGTCCACCTCTCGCAGTTGCGCCCCCCCCCAGGGATGATGGACACGGACGGATTTGTAGGGAATGGATTGATGACTTCCTTCAAGCCTCCCATGAAGAGTCCGTCGGGAAAGGGATTTCATTCCTGTGTAGTCAGGTCACTGAAGAGCAAGCTCTCTTGCTCCAAGCATGGGACGGCCAGGTGACTGATGGCGAGTCTCCCTCGTTCCAATCAGGCAAGACATGGATTTGCAGTCATCTTCAACAGGAGGTTCTCCCTCATGCTGAAGCTTATGTTGTCACACATCAACACAAGAAGAAGGAGTTCATGACACCTCCGAGACCGACAGCTGTAGAAGATGGTACGGGAGAAGATTTACCTGACATTCCCCCTTTCCCAGTTGATGATGAAGTGGATACCGGAGCGCGTCTCAATGCAGCACGAGACACATTGTTAGCACACTCACCAGGAGATTTGAGCGCTGAAACAGTGCAAACGGTAGCCACTGCTTTCGAGGTCGATCCGACCACCCTCATGCAGCAGTTCGGGATCCCAAAGAAGCCACTAGAAAGTGCCATTCGACCTGCTGCTCCGGCCCCATCACGTACCCCACCAGGGTTGGAAGGGCCGTTCAAAGTGACGACCCCACAAATTCCTGCCCCTGCTCCAAGTGAACCCGCCTCGGGCCATGTCCTCGTTATCCCAGGATCCAAGAGAATCCCAAACCCCCTGCTGGGGGCTACCATGCCGGGGCAAGGAGGGGGAGGGATATCCCTTTTTCCAAAGAGGTCAAGCGGCTCCAAAGGGTTGGTAAAGCCGGCGGTGGGAGGCCACCAGTTTGGGGAAGAAAGAGCAGGAGCTACCTTCGGGGAGAGTCTAGGAGAAGCCACCCAAGTTCAGAACGCTGATCGGATTATCCATGCCATTGATGGCTTGCGTAAAGCACAGGACGAAGAGAAGAACCTCACAAAAGGATCGCTGACCTCAGTTCGGGAAGCCGAAAAGATGGATGTTTTCCTCGCCAGAGGATGCGGGACCCTGACGGTGGAGATAGCCCCCGGGGTCTATGGCAAGGAACTTTACCATGCTTGCAAACGCATCGCTATGCATTCTCGTCACATGTTGCATCTTATCAAATGGCCAGTCCTTATGACAAATCGTCTCATGCTGGGCATTGCAGGTTTCTGGTGGGGAGGAGTGGAGCCATACACGGTACACGCCAGTGATTGCGTTACAGCTCGCTCCGAGCAGCTGGACAACTGGCACCCCCCCAGCGACAACAAAATTGAGGGTCGAGTGAAACCACCTGGGGTTTTCAACACCTGGCTCCGGTATGCCGAAAATTCCGTCAGGGTCTTCGGATCATGTTACGGAACCGAGCATGTCGCAGAAAGGATGGAATGCCTTACCGCCCTCAAAGAAGCCCATGAAGAAGATGAACATGCCTTCCCAGCCGCTTACTGCATCGAACTCTACGAGGAATTGGTGGCGGCCTGGGGGGAGGACTTGCGAGAAAGTCGTAGGAAGCTGTGCTCAATTTGCGGAACGGAGAATCCCAGGCTGGAAGACCTCAAATTGCTTGCCCTTGCCCCAGGAGCGGACGGTCAAGCCAACTTTCAATTCCCCAGGATTTGGGACTTGGCCGACCCAGCCGGTTACTACCAGACAGTGGTCATTCCTAGGCAACAGAGGCAGATGTCAAGACTCCTCCATAAGCAGCTTCATGATCAGAACCTGAAGAACACCCGCAAAATTGCCGGAGGTGCAGAGTCAGTCGAAGGGGGAGATGATGATAAACCCGGGAAGGCACCAAAGCTCGTCCTCAAAGATGTTCCGCCCACTTCGGGGGGAGCCCTCCCTTCTGGAAACAAGTCCGCTTATCCGGCGGGGAAGAGACTGCTCCAGTCTGAGGCATCCCGGTCAGTTGAACATGCACCCAAGGACTCAAAGTCGGGAAAACCAATCTGCTGGGATGCAGCGACCCACATGGGGTGTAGCCGAGGCTCCAAGTGTCAGCACGCCCATGAGCCGTTGCCAGGACTTGGAAAGCTAGACTATACAGTTGCCATGCAAGTCATTAGGAGAGGCGGCTTGAAAGGGGGACCCAAAATCGATCCCAAGGAAGTCGATGGGAGGGTCGCACAACTGAGAGCCCAGGCAGCGGCTGAGAAAGCCGAGAAAATGCAGCCAACCCCAAAAGCCAA